AGGGAGGCTGTCTCGCGCACATGCGCACACACATGAACACAAACTCACGCACACACACGCACATACACATACATGCACACACACACACACACACATGCGCACACATGAACACAAACTCACGCACATACACGCACCATTAGAACCCCTCCCCCTCCTGTAATAGCCGGCCGTCGGCGGCAGGGGCGGAGCCGGGGCGGTGGAGGAGGGGGGCTTATTAGAGGGGGTTCAGGTGATCCGTCCAGGTCTTCAGCCCCCTCCCCCGCGTGCCTTCCTCCCCCCCCCCCTCTTCTTCATGGTGGCCACGTGCATGGTCAGGAATGCCTCGCTATTTTTAGCACTAATAAGACTTGACGGCGTAAAAGCCCTATCCCGTCCGACGGGCCGCGCCGCGCGCGAGTTCTGGAGTGCCCGGAGTGGTCCGGACACGGACGACCGACTCCAAACAATAATAATATCCCTGCTGAAACACACAGGCAGTCCGTCGTGTCTCGGGGCCCGTGTCGTGACGGTCAGTTGGAGATAGACCGGCCGGGGCGGGGGCACCCGTCTCATGGCCCGCCTGCAGGGAGCCCGTCAGCGTCAGGAGTGTAAGGGTGCCGGGGCCCCGGCTGCGCGTCCAGGTCGTGGTCGCGGTGCGGTGTGCGCTCGCTCACTCTGCAAACTGGGCGGAGTGAAGAGTGAAGGCGTCACGCATACATGCCGCGGTTGTTGTTTTTTAAACAGCAAATATTATATCGTTTTTATTTTCTTCTGCTTCTTCAAACGAAACAAGTTTAAAAAACGTCAATACATTGTCGCGCGCACACACGCAAAAACAACGGCAAAAAGGGTTTTGTTTCCGTGTGCTCAAAACACAAGGACTGCAAATTGCAACATCAGATATACTTCGTTCGAAACGAGTAAGGCTGCGCATACAACGTCTGACACTTCTCTGCGAGCGCGCAAACTAGATGGCTACGGCGACGGTGGACAGTTTGTTCGGGATGACGTGCCCAGATTACATAGAGCGGGTGCCGGGTGCCCCCCGGGGCGGCCGAGGCGGCCGGGGCGGCCGGGGCTCGCGTGCAGAGCGAGGAGGTGCCCCGCCGGGGCCGCGGCCAAATGGGCTCCAAATGGGCAGGCCAGGCCTCCTCGGCGAGGAGCTCGGCAAGGAGCTCGGCGAGGTAAGGAGGGGGGACACTAGGCGCAGCCAGGGCAGGCCACGCCACGAGATTTATCGCGTAAAGGGTCAAACACCTCAGCGCCAAGCAGGGGCAAGGGCAGGGGCAGCGCGGGCCCCTCGGGCGGCCAGGACCACGACCCGGGCGGGGCGGAGCGGGGCGGGGCTCCCCGCGGGCCGCGGCGGGCCCCTCTGGGGGTCCGGCCGGCCGGGGATCGCCAAGTGAGATAGCACCAGCAGCACACTGCTGTGCAGTACCAGCCCAGCCGTGTGCTGCCCGCCCCGCCCCGCCCCGCCCGGCGTGTCCAAAGGAGATGAATTAGGCAGACGTCTTATTAGGCACGACAAAAACATCACGACCTGAGCAGCGCAGCGAGGATGAGACCGGGCGCGGCACGGCGTGGCGTAGCGTGGCGGGGCGCGGCGCGGCGCCTGGCCCGCGATCATCTCCACCCCCATTGTTTTCCCGCCGCCGTGGCGCGCGAAAAGGATTTGTAGCGCCGGACGGATTATTTTGCTCGCGGGAAACTAAAGATCGTTTAACAAACCGCCCAATTGTTTTCGCGACGTGGTGGGGTACTAATGTGGTTTCTTCTTGTTTTCTTTGATTGGTTATCTCGCGTAGAGTGATATACAAAATACAGATGCATCTTCAATATATTTTATATGCTGCGGTCTCTTTCCTTTAACCTCGCAACTGGATGTTTTAGTGTAACAAGTAGTATTCACCGGTGATGATCGCATATATCACACTCCGCCCTCAACTGCGTGAATTCGAGGTCACTGTCTTCCTTTTATCGTTTTCTTTGCATCTCTATATTTTTCTTTAGTGTATTTTTACAAATTTTTAACATAATTTTTCAAAATTAATCTACGGGCGGTGGCTTACGGGCCAATATAGGGGGGGCGGGTTCACTAACACCCGGCGTATCGCCCTATCGCCCCACCGCATCGCCCGAGCGCGCCGAAACCGGTTGAGATAAACTCCACGCACGAAAAAGGAGTCGGCATGTAAAAATGTACAACCGCGCGTGTGCGAATAGAAGTGTGGCCGGCCGGCCGGCACGGAGGGCTTAACTAAACTACTCACAGACTGTAAAGAGAGAGGGGGAAGAGAGAGAGAGAGAAAGGGGTAGGGGCAAAAGGGAGGGGGGGGGGTGTTCAGATGGTCATAGAGCTGCCACACCGCGCCCTTGCACACCAGACAAGCCGACGCATATTGTATTTAAATGTCGTTTCCGTGAATTAATAGTCGACAACACGTTTGCTGCTGCATCCATATGAATTCTTAGCGCGCTGCGGATGCGATGTCCTTCCGAGAAGCCTCCTCCGAGCCGGCCCAAATACAAAGGACGACGGCCGGACATTTGCGTACTTTGTACACAAATGGGTTTGACGGCGTGTTCGGCCGGGGCTTTTCGTCCGCATAGGCTGCATACTTTAGTCGGCCTGTGCCACGAGCTCTACTACTGTGTACCTCGTGGACCGCGATCAGCCCGAGTCAACCACCGCGGAAGGATCCGCGAGGTAGCTGGGGTTGGGGTAGCTTGCGGGAGTAGCTCGAGGTCCGCGGGGTATAGCTCTAGCTCGCTGGGCGATCGTCTAATAACAGTGGCGGAGGGAGGCATTAGCACTTCGATCCGGTCCCCGGCCTCTGATGGGTATGCCGTCCCGGATGGAGCCTTGCGGGCGGGTTGCATAGTACCCGCTGTAACTTTGACTACGCAGCAGTGTTGCGGGTTTGCCTGCTCTTTACATATTGAGCATTCAATCCCGCAACACTGCTGCGTAGTCAAAGTTACGGTACAAAAGTACGGTGGGCTCTCTATGGGACGCCCTGCATGTACGCGCACTAGACGGTTGTGGCACTCTACCTCTCAGTCCTTCGGTCGCGGGCCGCGCCGCGACGCGACACGGGCGGAGAGGCCCGTGCGGCCGCGTACACCAACGGAACAAACAGAATTGTTATGCATTCCTAGATTTTAGGGCCCGCGTGAAAGGGCGCGGGGCGGGAGAGAGAGAAAGAGGGGGGGGGGTGGAAGGTTGGGAACGAGGACATGTAGCCGGTCCAAGCCGAACGTATGAATGCGCCTGTGGGCTGGGACAGGACAATGAGGGGAGCGCCCTGCACTAGCTCCAGCCCCTCCAGCAGGACTCTAGCAGGACTCCAGCGCCCAAGTCTCCGAGCCGGGCGCCGCCGCCACGCCCGCAGCCTCACGCCGACGCGAAGTACGACAATCGCGTACCGTTGAACTCGTCGGTTTGATCGTCGTTGAGGACACACACACACACTCACACACGCATGCGTCTTGGCAGGACGTCGCGTCGGGCAGGACGCCGGATGGTCTTCGGATAGGACCAGTGCCAAACTGGAAGCCGTTGCGGCGGGCTCCCGGGGGCCTTGGGTGCCCGGGCTCCCGGCTCCCCCCGGCTCCCCCGGGGTGAAGGGCCCGGACCGGCTTCCGGTGGGATTGGGCGGGACGTGGCGGCGCGTGCCGCCGGGGAGCCCGGCCGGGCCGACATCCTCTACGCGGCGGCGGCTCCCTCCGGTATGGGGACTCAATCCAAACGGAGGGTATATACTCTGACCCACCACCGAACCAACCCAAAAGTTCACCATGGTGTCATCACCTTTGGCCACCTCTTTCAGCAGGACTAATCTGTAATGCGAATTATTTATAATTCACGGGTAATTTCTTTTTTGCAGGCTAGCAACCGCGTGCCGTATGAGTTTCACACAACCGGTTCTATGCATTATGCGCGAACAGTAATGGCAGCCATTTGCACGCATCCCCAACGCACATGGAGTATCCCCGGCATGCATAAGGATGGCGTTGTACCGCCGGCCTCGCGCCGGCTAAGGAGCCGGCCGGGCCGGCGAGCGAGAGCCGCTGACATGAGTGTCGATCTTTTGTGATGGAGCGTCCCCCAACCCTATCTGCTCAGGGCGCTCTAAGGTCATGCACCTCCCCTGGCCGCCCTTACAGTGAGACGTCCCGTTAGGTTATCCAATTTCAATTGCAATTTCGCCGGTAAGTGGGCAAAAAACGTGGCATTGCCCCCTCCCCCCCCCCTTCCCACGGGGAAATCCGCGCTCATGGCACCATCCGATCCGCATGTGTTGAGCAATGACTGTGCCAAACAACGCGCATTTTTTTAAAAAGATTCTCTTCCCCCGGCGGTGCTGTACTGACTTGACCGATGACCCCGCTTCCGCTCCGTTACGGCATTCAATTTGCACATCGGTGACAGAAGCTGTCTCTACCGAATCAAAGAAACACGTAAGCCTTAAAAAAAAAAACTGTTTTGACATTCACATTTTTTTCAAGATATTTGATACCGGAAGCAATGACCAACATCACACAGAAATTCGATTTCATTCACACAATTTGTCGAAACAAAATACTTGCAGAAACGACTGTAATGGAAATAGTTCGTGCCCCGTCCTTTGCCTCCCCCCCCCCTCTTAAGTCGCGTGTCTGTAATGAGTCGTCACAGTGGCCGTCGTCCTTCCACGGTCCTTGCTCTAAAGATAGCCTGCTGCTGGACGCCGGCCATGTAGGGCCGCCAGCCGGAAGCAGGCGCTATGGACGACCAACATGTTCAAATTCTCCGGAATTTTCCCCAAACACATCACTAAAGTGCCACCAAAAAAATGTACCATTAAAAATATCTTTTCAGGAATTTCCAAAATTTTGCAACAGCCCCGCAAAACGAGAGGAAAGAAATTATTTTGTCAAAAATCTGTTCCAGGTACCTTGTGTACCTCTAAAGGGCATGCAAAAAACAGAAGAAAACAAGGGGGGGGGTGCCAAAATTTCCGCCAGGATAACTAACTTACCACTCGCGAATGCCAGCGCGGCGACCACGACAAGAGCGCAGACGAGGGCCGGGTGTCGTGCCATGGCTGCTAGGCGTGCGCTGGTGCGTGCGAGGGGGTCCGTACGACGGCGTGCGTCGGTGCGTGCAGGCGCGTGCAGGGAAGGCAGGCCGCGGCGTGCTGCGTGCTGGGCTGCTCGTCTCGGACTGAACTGACTGGGAGTCGCAGTCACTTCCCTGCAGGGGCCGCCGCGCTAGCCGTGGTGCCCTGCCCTGGGAGTGGGGAGAGGGGGCCCATCTCTCTCTCTCTGTTTCCCTCTCTGTTTCTCTCTCTCTGTTTTTCTCTCTCTTCTTCCCTTCCCCTTACGCTCCTCCTTTACTTTACCCCGCCGCACCCCCTGCTGTGGAGTTCCGATCCCCCCCTCCTCCCCCAACTCAGAGGTTACCTGCGGGAATCACCCCCCCCCTCTCCCTTTCCTCACACACACCTCTACTCTGCCCCCTCACACTGTTTTACCTCTCTGATTCAACTACCTTTATGATGACCCGACTGCTAGCTGCTTTGCTTTCTGCTTCTGATGTAGTTGCTGCTGCCGTAGCAGTAGGAGCAGCAGTAGCAGCCTGTTTGTTTGAACCGGGCTGAGAAATGGGAAAACAAGTACACAAACTGAGCTGTAGCGCCAGCAGATCAAAGGGTTACGACGCTAAGACCGTCTTGCTTCATTCTGCTTGGCTCACTCGCCTGGTGATCTACTCGGAAAGGCTTCTCTTCGGAATAGTCTTGGGCGGGGACGCGCAGAGAGTTGCTGGCGACACCAACTCTAGTAACTTAGTATAACAGTCTCATCTCGCACCTCGCCTGTACCCTGTACCGTTCACACAATTATTGTAGCACAAGTGTGGTGCAGTACTCGCCTCGGTCCGGGGGCTGCACGTGTGAGGATGTGGGGCCCACCTGGACCACGTGCAGATAAGCCTTATCGTTATCTTCATTACAGGCCTTTCTCCTCCTGCCCAGCCCCTCCTTCAGAGTCGTCCCCTTACCGCATCATTCTTTTTCCAGTTTTGAATTTGTATCAAGAAAGTCTCCCTTTACGCCGTATATTACAGTAGGGGGCTCTACGACGTGAGGGAGCCGGTAGGGCCATCGAGACATCACGTCCGATTCCTGGAATCCGTTCCCTAACATGCGGGGGACTCTGGGGCTCGAGGTTACGAGGTCACCTTTAAGGAATTAGGACCGACAAAAAAATAATACGTGTAGGAGAGGCGGGTGTGCGAATCTCAACCCACCCCAACTCTACCTGCCGGGTTCGCCATTATATATTTTTTTCAAATGCCTACCCCGTCCACCTGTCGTGAGCCCCTCCTCAGCCCTTTGCGCAAAAAAGGAAACATGGACACAAAAGGGCTGAGTTTGCAAAAAGGGAGTCCCACCTGCCAGCAGGTAGATCAGAGTGACGCAATAAGGGTATGGAGCTTAGGGGTGGGGGAAGAGGGTGGCGGGGGCGGCGGGGGCGGCTCCCCGCTGGGCGGGCGGGCGCGCTGTGAATGGCGCTCTAACAATCACATCAGGTGACTCTGGGAAAATAATACGAACGTCGAGAAAAGGTTGCCGAGTTGCCGATCTTCTCCGGACGTAGTAAATTCGCACAGATGTGGCCCGAGGCCCGAGGACGATCTACACTGAAAAACTTAAAACCGTGCATTCATGTGGGGTCCTGTGTTAGGAGTTCACATATCTGAACAAATATTGATTCCGAGTTTTCAGAAAGTCAAAAAAATAAATCAATTTTATAAATTAAAATCCAACGTAATAACTGCAATTAGACCAATGGGCTGTACGAATTCAGCATTGCGCGTAACTCACAAAATTTGCGGGATCACCCTGCTGCCTAGTTCCTAGGTTGACAGGATCGAGAGGTTTTGCCTGAAAGTTAAGTAATTAATCGCATTATTTATTATATGGAAAATAATAACATTGTGGAAAATAAAACAAAACATCATCTCTGTCGTGACTTGGGGAGTGACGGCCGGTAGGAAACAAGAAACACGACAGGCCGATCGTTAATCTATTATCCAATTAACAACATTCGCATCAAATCGCCGCCTTTCTTTACCCCGTCTATTGCCCCTCTCTTTCCTCTCGGGAAACGCGATGTGCCTCACCTATGAGGCGGAGCGATTGGAATCCTGGGGCCCTCCGCGGGGGAGGGAGAAAGGGGGGGGGGGGAGGTTTCGCGCAGCAGTGAGATAGGTAGGTAAACGCCCGCGCTGGACGGTCTCAGCCTGAGGTAGGGGGAATGAGAGAGATGGGGGGGGGGGGGGGGGGGGGGGTCCAGCTCGGCCGTCGGTATCGCATGTCGATCAGAATACGGGGAACATGCTTTAATAGAGAAGGTGACTATGATGCCATCATACGCCCCCGCCCCACGCCCGTGCTCATCCCTGCCGTAGGGTCCAACGTCCTCCCACCCGAACCTTCCTCAGGCCCCACGTCGCATAGACCTGTCCTGTGGACAGCAGACCTCAGCTACTGGCGCCCTGTCCTACCTTGTGACATACAAAATATTGTGACTCGACCTGGCGACGTCTCACTGGCGGCGTGTCGTGGTCTGGCCCTTGGACACACAGCCCTTCAGACTGTGAACAATCAGCGATTCAGATTTTTGGTGACTTGACTAACCGAGAGGCCTCTATTGGCCCAAGGTTTTTATGGTCCCAGCGAAGCGATCACTCCTAAAGGTTGCCTCCTGAACCAGGGTGTAAGTAGTGAGTACATAGAGGGTGTAAGTGAGTCCACGAGTAATGTAAGCTTTCGTTCTTTTACAAAGACTCAAAAAAAGTGTATGGAATTCAATTGGTGCTAGGCTTGTCTCACCAATGGTGCATGTAGTGTGTGGTGTCACCCTCTGGATCGGGATTGGGACTCCCAAGCCGCCGGCCGCTCGCGGGGTGCAGGTCCGTGCCCTCTGCAGTTGTCCGTCTTTGGTCTCGTTCGCAAGCGGTGCCCGGCCCAAGTTGGCAGTGTCACGTGTGTGTATGTATACACATGTACATACGTCCGTACGACTCGACTCGCCCGCCTGGTTCACTCCGTTTGGTTTGGTTCGCCTGCGTGCGTCCTCCCTCTCAAGGCTGTGAGGCGTCAAGATGCATCTTGTTTTCGGTGACTCTCCCTTTCTGCTGTGGCGTGGGCAAGCTCCTCCTTACACCTCTTTTACCTCTCCCATAATACTTTCATTTTCTTGGACGCGATGAGTCCTGGACCTGGAGAGCCGAGATGCTTACAGCCGGTGCGTTATATTCCGTTTTTACTCCGCTCCATAAAGTTTTTACTCCAAAATGTAAGGTCCCTTTTTTGTGTGCCTCGGGTGGCCCCGGGCGTGTGGAGGTGGGGGTCCCACCCGTGGGTCCCACCCTGTCCTGGCTCTACTTGGTCTCTAAGGCCGGCCGCCGCCGCATGCCCGCAAGGCGGGACCGTGATGCGATGTCTTACAGGTACCCATCCAGTCGCGTCGAATCAAAACAGAGGGTGGGGAGACTTGAGGTGTTTTAAAGTCTCCTCGGCGACTGGTCTAGGAGCGCAAAGTTACAACCAATACGGGCGATATTGAATCTGGTTTACAGTGTTGCAAGGCGAAGGGGCAAACATTCCTACGAAATGCTCTTGTGTGAAGCGGGATGCATCGCTACACGTCTACCTGATAGGCAAGCTCTCGACACGAGTGTGCAAGTGTTGCCTAGTACATGGGTGTGAAGCGGGCTGCGTCGCTACACGCCTGCCTGATAGGCAAGCTCTCGACACGGGTGTGCAAGTGTTGCCTAGTACACAGGTGTGAAGTGGGCTGCGTCGCTACACGCCTGCCTGATAGGCAAGCTCTCGACACGGGTGTGCAAGTGTTGTCTAGTACACAGTACACAGGTGTGAAGCGGGTTGCATCGCTAAACGCCTACCTGATAGGCAAGCTCTTGGGTGTGCAAGTATTGCCTAGTAGTACACAGGCGAGTAGCCCGCTCCACCCGTAGGGAATTTTGCCTACTCATCTCGCTGGCAACACTGATGTGTTGTGCCCAGCACAGGCTGTTTCTTTTTACCAAAGTCTGGAAAAAGACACAAGAACA